TAATTGAATTAATGGAAAGATGCTGGCATCAGGATCCAGAAAAAAGAAAATTTATAGCACCACAAAGAAGTAAAAATTCTTGGTCAGACAAATTGGTAGAACGAAACGGTGATTTGGCATGTGAGCTTGATGAGCTTATTGAAAAAGTAGAAAGAGGAGAAATAAAATTTCCAGAAAATAAAAATACAAATATTTTACCAATTAAAATAAATGATCAAGCAATTTACTCTAGTAAGCCACTAACTCCACTGATTAGTAAAGCATTGACTTTACAAAGTATGGGGTTAAATAGTAATGTAATTACAGGTAAAAGAATATATTGTATTGAGATGATAATTCATATTTCTTTATTTTCAATATAAAATAATATTAATCAAGTTTATAATAATCAATTATATTAGATATTCAAATGGTGATATGATAGGCCTAAAGTGGTTGAAACAAACTGTAAATAGGGAAGTTTCTAACAAGCTATCTATCTTCAAATCTGTATAATTCATTTAAACTTTGAATTTGTTATTTATTATGTGTTAGAGTTACGTTTATTGAAATTTTTCTTAGTATAGCTTATTAAAAGTATTGATATATAGCGATAGGGTGTGGTGTGTGTATATAAAATTTTTTGGGGAAACTAATCAATAGTTACAAAAAAGTTTTTAATTGTTTTCACTATTTTTATTTTCATTTATTTTTTTTTTAATAGATTTAGAATTTTGGATATAAGATCCGATTATTACATATCGGGCTTAATTATCAGGATTTTCAAATAAGAATTTTTTAAAAGCAATTAGGGTTTTGAATTAAAATACTGATATACGTTAGCCGAACAATTGAACGTAAATACAAATAGAGATATAATTAATTAAACTTGAAGAATAATAAATCATATTCTAATTTTATTTTGAATTAGTGTTTGATAAGTAAATATTTACTTTTGAGTCTGTAATATCTATTATAAACCTTATTCTTCGAATCGTGATATAAATTATGACATGCACAAACATCTTACTATTAAATTTAATAAAGAAATTGACGGCCATATAGTGATCAAAATAATATCGTAGGTATATATGTTGTAAGTGGAAACGGAGGCATAATATAAATAGTGTTAAGGAAGTTTCATTCAATAGCTCAAAGGAGATTTCTAGTTGTTTTTAACAGTGCCAATTTACTATAGTATCTAAAGTAAATTATATAGCAGATCGAGAATAACTGGTACCCTGACATCGATACAGTATATACTAGATGTGCGTACGTAATCCAGCTTTTGTAGAAATTTAAACTGTATATAGTATAAAATTTATGAATTAGTATTACGTATTAACTTTAATTCTTACAAAAATAATATTTATCAATGGTTACATTGAAATAATCTAATTGCGAGTGTCAACAAAAATGTAAAATTATACTAAAAATAATATAATATAATAAAATATAATAAAATATAATATATGTAATACAATATGTATGATAACTATTTATACTATACTAATAATATTCTTTCATAGTTATATAGGAAAATCAAGATTGTTACTTTAGACTAATTAATTAATCGATAAAAAATTTGGAATCAACAAAAAACTAATTTAAAGCATGCATGTATTGTAAAAAAAACAAAAAATAATCACAGTAGAATAACATAATACTGTAATAACAAAAGATCATTAATAACATTCTCTAAACCGCACAGAAGAATGATCCGCCGAGTTATTTGTATCTTCATTAATTGAAGAAGACCGAGAAATTGAAGAATTAGAATTTGTAGTAATAGTAGTATCACAATAATAATGAAAAGCATCGATCTGATCTTGAGTTAAAGTAGGAGTTTGAGATGAAGAAGTCATTTCACACGACATATTGTTGCTTGAGGACATATTATTTGATAAATCATTTGTCAAAAGATCAGATAATCCTCTATTATCTAAATTAATATTATTGGATAATTCAGCATCAATAATATTTGTAGATTTTCTAGACTTTCTTTGATTAGACTTGTTATGAGTTTTACAATGAGCGGAAAAATTATCAGATCTTCCAAACTTTTTACCACATCCAGGGTAGGTGCAGGTATATTTACGTTCACCAGTATGGGTGATCATATGACGTTTTAGATGTTCCAAACGTTTAAAACTCCAAGTACAACCAGGCCAATCACATTTATGACGATTTCGAGATAAAGAAGACGAAGATAAAGGAGAATTATGATTAGATACGCCATTAATTGAGAAAGCATTTGATTGAGGTTGTTGAAGTTGAGAGGTAGTAGCAACGGTTAAGTGAGAGTTGTTATGAGGGATTGGCATCATATACAAGTGATTTTGATTACTTAAAGCATTTGAAGGAGGAAAATGATGAGAAGTTGGAGCATGTAGAGAGAAAACAGGCATCATCCAGTTGTTGATGATCGGCTTAGTATCCCGTGATTGAAACGAAGGATAAAAATGATAAGCCCGATGAAATCGTGGTGGATCGATGGAATTGGTAGGCATCGATGAAGTTGGAGTGTTTATTTGGTGATGTTTTGGAGTAGGAGCGATTAATCGTGGTTTAGATTCTTCAATAATTGCATAGTATGGAATTGATGTTATTGATAATGTTTGATTATTATTAATCAAATATAATTAATATATAATGAATATATAATGAATAAAATGAATATAATTAGTATAGCAATTATAAACATTATTTATTCTTAATCAGAAATAAGTTGAATTTCTTACCCATTATTAATAGAGACAAATCTAAAAAAAAAAAAAAAAAAAGTTAAATAAAAATACTGCGAAAAATTTTTTCAAAAATTAGTAAAGGTTAGAACGAAAGAAAAATCATATGTCATCAAAGAATAAATATATAATAAAAAATGATTCTCGTTTCTCACCTTGACTAACGGAGATACACTGTGCAGGAGGTAGACATGAAAAAACACGGATCTAAAGGAGAAATTCCTTTACCTAATAAAAGGTGTGGATTCTCTCACAAGGAATGATAATTACAGTTATTTAAAATACAACAAGAAAAAAAATATATCAAGAGGAAGATGAGATATTTTTGGATATTTTTGGTGATTAAAGGAACAAGAAAAAAAAAGAATAAAGTAACGAGAAAGCGAAGAGAAAGTCAACAAATTCGAGAAGCCCAATCTCTATTTAAATGAAATTATAATAATTTAATAAATTTTCCACAAATAAAAAAAAATTTTTTTTACACTTATTGATTGATTTAATCGATAATAATATGCGTGAGGTAAAAGAAAAGCGTGAAAAAAGTTTTATATTTGAAAAAAAAGAAGTTCATGCTTATTTTAAGTGATCAAATGAGTGATTCTTTTGTGTCGTATCTAGTTTGCACATATACCAGTTTTACTCCGCCGCATGAATGAAACAATTTAACAATGGTTTTAGTTATTAGTATAAAAATAATCGAGTTTCTTATTAACTTTTAAGCACAAGTTTCGGTAATTAAGTGAGTGGTGGTGACTGATTAAAAATTTGATAGCGTATTAAAATTCTTTTAATGCTTGGTAAAAGTGACCCGAATTGAAAAAAAATATGAAGATCGATATGAATCAAACTGGAATTAAAATGAGAAAGGGGGTGGGAATTATTACGTATTACATATTAGAAACGTATTGTTCATGTACGCAGGTATGTAGTTAATGTAGTTATTTCTTATATATTATAATGCAAACTGCGTACAGTAATAGGTATGACTTTTTACCTTATAACTTATTTGGTTCGTGTGTCTGTGTGAAAATATAATAGTAGTATACTCTCGAGTTTAAAATAGTAAATATATATCGATATAGTCTATTAAAGTAACTTGTATAGTTTGTTATCATTTGCGTAATTTGAGTAATTTGATAATTTGAATAGATTGAATAATTTCGATTCGGCGCAGTTATATATTGTTCGTAAGAACATATTCGGATGATTATTATAAGTAATCTACGTGTTTCTTTCAGTCATTTCAATCATAAAGGCGTAAACCACACTTTGGTTTTCAATGTTGTAACACTTGAAAACTTGTAACTACTTGCCGATCCTCAACCAAGCTGTTTAGTGTATTCCGAGAAAACATGAAGTTATCACGTGAATTATATCATTTCATATTATTAATTAGCATGTGATTAGTCACTATGAGTTTTTTAATTAAAGATGTACTAAATCTCAAAGTACAGTAATCTAAAAATCATAAATGATTGATAATCAGCTTTCAAAACAGATTGTTTAATTGGAAATTTCTGAATTTTAATAAATTACCGCTTGAATACGTATATAAGCATGAATTTAGCACGTTATTTGTAAAAAAAAAAAAAAAATCCAGAATTTTTTCAGTGCAACAATCATTAATACTAATGTGATTTTATTTTTTTTCCTACTGTCAGCGAACAAATGGTTCTGGAAGAAAAAAATTCGTTATACGGTATAAAGTTCCTAAAGCCTACACACTTTCTATATCGAATTGCAACTGACAACTCATTTATTCAGAAGTCGTTATAAAGAGACTCGTTCGTTATAGATAGCGATAGTGCCTGTCTACTGTAATAATTAGCATTTAACACCTCTATTTCTTCAATAATGTAATTTACGACAGTAGATAATACTATGTAAAAATTTAAAGTAATTATTATTATTATTATTATTATTATTATTATTATTTATTTATTTATTAAAAAAAAATGGTTTTCTTATTACCATTATCTAATTAACCAAAATATATATATCTGATATTCTAGTGGAAAATGTTAATACATATTACGTCTGAAAAAAAAATTCTGTATTACTGTAAGTTTCTTGTTTGGGTTATATAGTACTACGTTCAGATAATATAAATAGTTACGTATGTGAATTTCATACATATCAGATATACTACAGTACTATCACTTTTTTTCACTCGGTAGTTTCGCGTACGACTTGCGTACGACTTACGTACGTGCATACAGACATATGTTAATTAATCTCTAAATATTGACATTTTTATTTTAATATTATTTTCTAATAATGGAAAAAGAAAATTCTTCAACACCTCCATTAACTCGTAATACTGATGAAACAAATATATTTACTTCTTCAATATTTGATACTTTACAAAGTGAATCGGACTCTTTAATAACTGAACAGATAACTTTAAATCCCTCTTCTTATACTCTGCTTGACTCTCCATCACTACCTACTTTTCATAATTCTACGAATAATCAAAAGGAGGTTTGGTTTTCGGATATAAATAGTTTGAATGCTATTTTTGCTTCTTTAGGTACTTCTAATGCTTTAGCAAAAAACTCTAAAATTGATGATAGTAAAAAAGATATTATTGAATGTAGTAAACTGGTTGATAATAATAACTTTAATACCCTTTTAATTGATGATATTGAATCTAGCGAACGTTATGATGATTCATTTAACCTTTCCCAAAATTCCTTCGATTTATCTTCTCAAATTCCCATTTCTCAAC